GCCGCCACTGCCACCCCCCGCTCGGATGACGATGGGCAGCTGCAATGCGGCACGTTCGGTCAGCAAGTGACTGACAGGAAAAGCAATGTCCACTTCAAGTATCAGTGAAACGAATAGGTATCGTAAAAAGAAGTATGAAATGGACCGAGTTAAACAGAAATGAACTAGAGTCCCTTTATACTGAGAGTCAAGACAATTTGAATCCATTTCTGATTGGTTCCCGTATTTTAGGCCTCCACAGTGTCACAAACGGGAATAAAGATTACATTTTCACCAATTGCAAAGATTATAATCTGGAATGGACCAGGGAATTACGGGTTCGGCAAGGAACAAACGGAATGAGAGAAGGAACGGAGAAAGGCATTTGAGAATGGGCCGATCAAAGATTACGAAAAACGTTCAATTTCTGTAATCTTTATTCCCGTTTGTGACATCCATGAGCCGAATTGTCTTGACTCTCAGTATAAAGGGACTCTAAAAGGAACCAAGCCACATCAGCTATTGCCAAATTTAATTGGGCAATTCAATTTTTTACATGAAAACGGTAGTGCGGATTTTCGTGCAAATTTCAGTGAATTTTCTCCATAGTACGAAGCAAATTCCTTATCATTTTCACAGATATCTGCACAAACGTTCTTTCATAAAAAATTGTATTGCCCAGTTAATTTTGACAACAGCTGATGTGGCTTGGTTCTTTTCTGTTAAACTCGGTCCAAATGAGGGAGGGAATCGTCTTTAAATTATTTTACGCAGTAAAGAAAGGGGGGACTATGGTCCAGGGTGACGGTGCGTGATAGGGAGAAAGAAGCGGATTGACTGCCTCTATTTCCTGTTGTAAGAGCTTAAAAGATTAAAAAAAAAGTTATTCAATCCGGGACTGATCTAGTATTATTAATTAATTTTTAAGGAACTTTATTGTTACAGTTTACGAATCACCATTGTTGGTAGGGTTTCAAACTTTTCCTATTATTTTGTTAGATTTATGACAAAGGTGAATTATTCATGCTGACTTCTTTATTTCTAACAAAAATATAATGATTTATAGTCTTCAAGACTCCGATACACAAATTTATATAAATACAAACAAATTTAAAATGCCAATTGTAAATTCTCTCTATCTTTATAAACGAATGTATCTCTGAATAGTTCGCCTATCTCTTCTGTTCCATGAACAGTTTACGAGTTGACTCAATCAAATTGCTATGACTCGATCAAAATTTCCGGTTGATTCAGCTGGGAGGTAGTTGCAAAATGGACTTAAAAACTTCTATTCCCGGAACTAATATTTTTCTCAGTGTTACTATACATACATTATTTCAAAATTGTATTTCTCATGTATGGCATGTTATGCTCGCTGATGTCTCTAAAATTTATTAGACGCTGGGAGTAAAACTTTAAAAAAGCAATAACCTCTTACTGACAACCATTATTTTAAAAAGTCAACCCAAAAAGCTCATAACCCAAAAAGGTCAACCGAAAAAGTCAACTGAAACGTTTACTGACCTAAATATTTTCATGCCGATGAAGTTGAATTCTGTAGGGTATTCAAGAGGTTTGTGATACGCAACTTTATGCTAAAAGTGGCCGTCATAATCGGAAGAGATTTTTAAGTATAGTTGTTGAAAGAGCGATTTCACGAGAAAAAATTCAAGGAACGCCGGAAGGAGAATTTTGCTTGTAGGAAATTGTATAACTTTTGCCTCTGAAATAGAATCCAAACCTCTTTGGTTCAGTCATAACACAGTAAAATAATAATATTCATTTTAATGGGATAAAAGTCATGTAAGTGATTAAGAAATTAATATTCCTAGCTTTTAAGAAGAATGAGAAATTTATAAGTGGCAAGCTTCTGATTCATTAGTTCTTTTTTAAAATCATTTACTTATGGTAAAGTCGCCACAGATTTAACTTGAATCTCTTAAGTTTTATAATTTTACTTTTGTGTATTTTATAATTCTTTTTATACATTTTTGTAGATAATGCAAATATAGAGACATGAATTAAAGAACAGAAAAAGTTTCTTCTTTTTATTCCTTTCTGAGGAAAAATATATGAAAAAATAAAATAAAAAGTTGGAGGTTCCATCGTCATTGCACCAAAAAGAGGAGATTTTCAAGGCGGGAAAAATGGAACGGTTTTTTTATGATTGATTCGTCTATTTATTTATTAAAAGATCATGTAACAAACCTTTACACACACGAGAAAAGGCGACATTAATTAAGTTAGTATAACTTTAGTATCCCAAAAAGAAATTCTAACTCAAGCTCAAATACAACCCACCAATGTTTCTATTACAAATAAAACAGAAAAATCCTTATGCTGTTTCATTAATTATATAACTTAAAATAACGATTCTCGATGGTTCATCTAAATGTTGCACTAAATATGAAACCCATCACTTGTCAAGCCTGTTAAATTTCAAAGTACCCCTGACCACTATTACCTACTAAGACTTCTTAACTCAATTTGAAAATTAAATCTCTTACATGTCTACCTACATGATACAGTATAATGAAATAAATGGGACGTAAAACGAGTGTATCTCAATTGATTTATCCCCAGGAGCATCGAAAAAAGTTTTCAGTTAATAATTCGTGAGCGAGAATTCTCGTTGAGATAACGGAACATCTCTCTCAAGTGAAATCTGTTTTCAAAATACAGAACTACCGTTTGAAAAAAGAGACTTCCTATCGACTCAACGAGGATTCTCGCCGTTTATGAATCCTTAATTCTAATTCCTATTGATCCAACAGAAAATTTTCCATTGCCAAACATGTATAAGCTCATGTTTCAACTAAAATTAAAACCTTTCGTTACCGATCTTCATTGCTTTATCTTGAATTTGGGGAAAGCAACATTCAGAGGATATAAGAGCTGCATATCCGAGCAGTTATACTGTAACAACGTCGGATCTTCCAGTATACTAAAATGAGGCGGCTGCTCGGCCAACCTTTATACTCTGACGTATCGCATCTTCTTCATTCCATCACCATGATAGCGTATCAACTTGAAACTTTAATCGAGGAGTATGTTCGGTGTAGAATTTGTTGTACCACCGTCTGAATTCCAGAATCTGTCCTCCCTCTTTCACAACATTTGGTTTCGCCTCGATACCTTTAAAGTTATATACTAGAAAATCTCTTTCAATCTGCAATAAAGAGGCAAAACAAGAAGGACATAAAATGCTAATTTAGTAATTAGGAAATAGATATACTTCAAATACTGCATGTTTAGTGGTCTGTGAATAGAAATATGACGCACCTTATTACTTAATAATATTCTTATGAAACTCGACAATTGGAAGGCCTTTTATATCAGATAATTACTTAATTCGGATTAAACTAATTAATTTTTGAGCTCAAAACTACCCACATCGCCTAGCACCGCGGCTATAGTCCGTCCCTGGTCCCAATGACCTACACTCAAAAAAAGGTATGACTCTGAGACCCATAAAAAATGGCTCGGAGATCCATAATTTCTAACCAAAATGACTTACCGTCTACAGTATGGCTTTCTGAGCCATACTTCATTGGTCGTGAACCTATAAGCATGGCTCCACGAACTATATTACATGGCTTCATGATCCATAACTCGGCCGGTAAGTCACTCTTCCCATACTTGTTTTTTGAGTGTAGCTATACGGGCAATAAGAAATTTATAGGGCTATGCGAACTGCAACAAATTTTACAGCGGGGTTACACTGAAAAAAGAAGGTACTTGGCTCCAGCATGATGATTCTTGAATTTGCCGCCAAGAATTGTTTTATCTTGATTTCAGCTGAATTTTTCTTAGTACAAGAAAAATAATGCTTGGATTAAGCAAAAAAGTAGTTTATATTAAGCAGCAAAATTCTTGATTTAAGAAAAAATACTTCTTGGCGGCTTTAAGATTCTTTTTTTTCCGGTGTATGTTCCAAAATATGTATGCAGCCAATTTTTGCCTGGGCGGTTTGTGGGTTCGATATGTATGTTTTTGCATGACGCATTGAAGTCGCACAATAACGGTCAAAGACATTGAATAATAACGGTACATAGTTTCTGAATATTATTGAATTTCCGAGAGAGACAAGCGTCTATTTTGTAGTACTTACGTTCATTCTCGTGGTATGGAAATAGAATCGGGCCGGTAACATCGTCGTAAGGTGAGAATACATTCGGAGTAAGGACCTTTGATGAAAAGGTCCTAGAGGTGTGATGCAGTCTGTTGCTATTACACGCCCAAACGGTGAGTCGATTTCCACTTGAAGTATACCCGGGCCAGTCTGGAATAAAGAATTCATTATGTACAAAACAGAATTAATGATGAAAAAAAAACATAATTTTTTGAGAATTTTCATCGCCGGGATTGGTCATTGGTTTGTAAGGTTTCGGCTTTATTAAAAAAACTCCATCATTTCTCTCGCAAAAAACTGAAACATCTAAATCGTGCGGTGAGTGTAGGAACGTTTTGACACATCCCGTAGGTATGAGCGAGTGATATAAAAACGGCCCACGCAACTTCTGTATAGAAACGAGACTTGATGGTTCCATCATCGATTTGTTGAGATCAGAGATGGAAAGTGAAATTTCACGTTTGGAAATTTCACTTGAAAATTCACAAATTTCACGTGAAATTTCATGAAATTTCATAAGGCTCGAATAAATTTCACAAAAGTTGAAATTTATTTATTTTTCTTAGAATTATTGATTGAACCTTTGGAGGTCTGAAAGTGTTTTAGATGGTCTTTATGTTGATGCTGTGGTATTATGCTACTCTACTGAAGGTGCCAGATACAAAGAGGGGGGTAAAAAAGGGAGTTTAGAGAGAAAAACCCCAACCTAATCTCTAAACTAAACGAAAACATTTGCAACGCGCGAATGTTTTAGGCTTGGGGTAAAAGATTTCAAAATTTAGACTTACTTTTTCTAGGCGTCTCTTAGCCTCCCGAATTTATCCCCAAAAGTTTCAATAAATTTCGTGAAATTTCATAAATTTTCCATATCTGGTTGAAATTGATACTTACAACTGTTATTAGTACATCAGCTCTGACCAAATTTACTTTTCCCATGAAATGCGTGATCCCAACGAATCGTGCGATTGACATATGAGGCTTCTTGGAGTCGACTGCCCAGCTTCCAGTCACGGACATCTTAATGGATGCGAACAATTTACTCCAGAAGGGGTGGTCTAGTCTGTTCCCAACAAAAGGCAATGCACTGTGCAAAGCCTCCAGGTGCGGAAAGTCTGCTACATTTTCCATTATATCCTAGAATAAAAAACTTGAAAGTATATTTTTTGTCACGGTTCGTCTGAGCGTTCAACTGGGCCGATTTCCATGATTTTTGCGATTATCGACAGGTGATAGTTCCTAGATGAGCCCGCTGTAATCAGAATTTGAAAATAGGACCCAGGTTTTTTTTATATTAGAGGAGACCAGAAAGCTTAGAAAAAGGGGCAAAATTTGAAATTCCCGCCAATGAAAAATGGCGGGAGTTTCACATCTAGGGAAAATTTGAACGAAGCGTGAAATGTTGAATCTTGGTCTGTTGGAAGGGTAAGGTAAGTGAATCGAAAGTAAGCTCTTTAGTTACAGACTATTCAAAAGCGACGAAACGCTCCGTTCCGTTCCTTCCGCTTCGTTTCAGTCTTGGCTTGAAGTTTGAGATAAATGACGATTTTTCCAACGATTCTTATTGGTCAAATCGCTCCCTGCCAGAGGGAGATTGGACAATTGAGAGTCGGGTATGAAAATCTATTCATTTTTCTGGTCGTTCTTTTGCCGGAGCGGGCCTAAGAGAGCGCGAAGCGGGGACATAGCCCCCTAGTAATCTATATTGTTCATTGATCATCGATATCTTACCTGAATTGATGTGGTAACTTCGTACTGAGCTTTACCAACAAGCCAATACGTGTTACCCTCTATTTCAGGAATCGGTTGCGGTTCCCACGTCGGCTCCTCGCCCTCCGCGTGATACCACACGCAAATCAATTGGTTCACCTCGCAAGATTTCCAAGTTCGAATTTTTGCAGACTCTGGTACTGAGAATGATGAAAAAAATAAACAAAGTTGGAGGTTCAAGACAATTATCTTCCTTCATATAGATACTTAACGAACCCATACCCCACCTAAAGTATATAAGCCCCAGAAAATATCCCGCATAGTATAACTCCGTAACCCTGTGTAGCTGGCAGAGGTTCATAACATCTATCTCATCGTATTCATTAGCCTTCGGTCAAAAAACTTGTATAATCTCATATAGTTTCGATGAAATACTAGGTAGAAATAGGAAGGCTGGAGGCCCCGAGTTGTGCTTGACCTCCTTTAGGAAACGTGAGAGATTTTATAGTCAGTGCGTGTTTCTATCATCTTTGAAATTATATTTCAATCAATTTTTGGGCAAGGATGGCTCACAATTAATGCTCCCTGGACGTTAAATTTTAGAATTAGGAGCCCCCCCCCCCCACCTCTCAATGGGATGCCTATATATTCTCCCAAACCCTCTTGATTAAGTTCCCCATTTTTACTCTGTACGAAAAATTCCTAGTTTCCCCATTGATAATGAATCCTGAATTGAAATCCTACTTTCGCATTTACTGTAAGGTATAGCTGCGCATTTTCCGGTTTCTCCATTAAACTTCCATCCGTGGAAAGGACATGTGATGCAATCGTTGTCCACCATGCCACCTACTCCCAAGTTGGCCCCTAAATGCGGGCAATAAGCATCAACAATGTGAACTTTTCCACTTGACGCCCGAAAAGCGGCAAAATTTTCTCCTGGAACAAGTGAACAATAATGAAAGTAATATCTTGACCTTGAGCTAAGGAATATTACTCATAAACGTGACTCACAAGAGACTTCTTGTCCTACATTTGACTACATTAAATTGATCAAAATAGTTAGGGCTTAAAAATAAGGAGAGTGCAAATTTAAATAAAATCGAAATCGTGAAAAAAATTAAAACTCGAAACTTTCCTTATAAATTAATGTGTCTGAACACCGTTTCAGATGGTCCGCCGCGGCCCTCTCTCTTCAGCGGTGATAGCGCGATTTCGAAACGGCGTCCGGCCAAAATAATCAACGTAAGGAAAGTTTCGAGTTTAATTTTCAGCGATTTCGATATTATTTAAGTTACATGTATCATTCGGATCATTCATAAAAAACGGATCATCTTCATCATTTGTTATTATTGGGAACCAGGGATCAGTTTGTCGGTTACTGAGAAGTTGTTTCCGTGAGAGTAAATACACAGTATAACATGGACTTAATTTTTCAAAAAAGGAGCTGCTATTCTGGCTTATCAATGACAGCACTTATCTGCCCAAGGACACTATTGTATGTCACATTTGCTGTTTCTAAAATGGGTTAGAAATCGTGTCTCTATATTGCAAAATGAAGTCCAAATGGACTAATTTGTATTCATGATAAACTACTTTCTTCGTCCCATAAAAAAAAAAAAAAAGCACAGTGGGATTCATTGCAGTCCAACTAAAAAGTCTTGTAAATATGAATGAATTGATTTACCCAAAGCGGATATGTATTTGACTTCATTCTTTCGGAGGGAAGCAGATTCCAGAAGACAAAACCACCCATTTGGATAAATTGGCACGTTCGCCGTTTTTGAGTCGGTGCGAAGTCTATTAATCAAACGTTTCTTGGTTGACAGCCCAATATGTCTTGATTCTAAATTAAAATGAGCATCTCCCTCAATACCACTCAGATCCTGAACAAAAAACGCATCATTTTAAGGAAATACACCGAATCAAACATCATTTTATTGGAAAGCTGGCCCTGAAAATTACTTACAGTGACAATCTAGTTCCAAATCATTAATTTGCAGTCGATATCGTCCTTAGCTAACACCTCTAATGGTGTGAATCATCAGCTTGTCCCTCCCTGATTTGCCGCACAACCATTGTAATAAATTGGAATAAGAAGAAATTCAGCGCAGAATAAATTTCATTATTATTTTATATGATATTGTTTACGACCCTCTGAATATGATGACCATCTTTTCTGCAAAATGAATTACTTCCTATATTCGAAGAGCATGCTACGCAACTGGGCCATATTAAGGGAGTGGCGACATGGGCCGCGGCCCATGGCGGTAAATCTCTAGGGGGTGGCATATTTTGAAATTTTTTTTTAAATGTAGGGATAAAAAAAAAAATTGGATTTGGAAAAAAAAATTCAAACGAGAAAAGGCGGCAAAATCTCTAATTTTCTGAGAGTATAGTAATTTCTACTTTTGTCGTCTTTCAGTGATACAAGAGACACCACCTTTAATCAGTTGAGTTAAGAGAGAGACCAAACACGCAATTTGGCCTGGAACGCGACTTAGAGAGAAACGATGACGAGGACTTGAGATGAAAAGGAGAAGCCCTCGGCGCGGCGATCGGCATGTAACACATATTAGCCCCTACATAACTGCACAAATACTTCACGCATTGCGGCAAACACAGTGCGATCAGCGTGAAACGCATAGCGCCTACAAGACTGCGTGAATACTTCACGCATTGCGTCAAACACAGTGCGTTCAGCAGCGGTCGGCGTGAAACTCATAGCGCCTACAAGACTATCGGAATACTTCACGCATTGCGCCAATCACGGTGCGGTCTGCGCGGCGCGGCGGCGGAAGTTAAAATCATTGAACCACATTTATGTTTGTTCTTCCATGATTTTTTCGTTCATTTCTTATGAGTGGAAGGCCTTGTCCGCACAGAGATAGGTTTAGGAGACTTAACTTTCGAGCAAAGTTCCGTGAACTTTTGCTAGTGGTGTTGACAGGGCTTTCCCAAAAAATGTGTTCAACACAAGTAAACGCGTCTTATGCACACCTCCCCCGCTGGCACGTTCATTTGATGGTTTTTATTGATGTTTCAAAACGAATGAGAAGGAGGCGGCAAAATACAGGCGGCCCACGGGCGGCAAGAAGGTAAATCCGGCCCTACTGCGCAATCAGAACTTTTCACCTTTTTTTGATTTTTGTTGTTGAATTTTAGGCCTTTTGAAGGGTACTTATATATATTCTGAGTATGTTTTTTCTGAGTAGTTCAATTTCGACCCACCCCCATTGAATGTGGGAAATTAATTTTTGGACAAAGGTAAGATGCTTTGCTTTTAAAGAACTCCTTAAAAATACACACGCTGTAAGTATAATTTAGACCCTAATGTAAGAACTGTTTTAATATAAGCATACCATAATTTGTAACTTGGGAAGCATTTAAAAAAAAAAAAAAAAAAAAAAAAAAAAAAAAAAAAAAAAAAAATCCGCTGTGAAAAGAAACTTCTACTTGAATCGAATAGGACGCCTATTATATGGACCACGTTTAACAGAAAGGAACCAAGCCACAACAGCTATTGCCAATTTTAACTGGGCAATTAAATTTTTTATGAGAAAACGTTTGTGTGGATCCCTTTGAAAATGTTAGGGAATTTGCTTCGTACTATGGAGAAAATTCACTGAAATTTGCACGAAAATCCGCACAACTGTTTTCATGTAAAAAATTAAATTAGCCAATTAAATTTGGCAATAGCTGATGTTGCTTGGTTCCTTTCTGTTTAATGCGGTCCATATATTCCTTCCGAAGGAATTCGTTTCAAAAACAAGTCCAGTCCTTATGGAAGGAGGTCTAGTTGTTTTGAAGAGAATTTCGGTTGATTTACTCTTGTCCAGGAAGTACACAAATTGATGGACAATTTTTTTCTCAGTGGGTACAGTGTTTCAAAATACCGTAATGCCCGTGATTGATTGAAAAAAACCATGAATAACTTATTCCATAATAAAAGGAAAATGAGCATAATTAGCTTACGTAATAATAATTTGCGGGGAAAAAAGTGAAGTTAATAAGACATATGATGAAAATAAATGAACAAAGAGCGATAATCCAATTCTGCCGGATCAATGGTGTTGACATCAAAATCAAAGGAAAACCTCGAAGCGCATTCCAGCCACCCTCAGCAGCACCGTCAGTAGCATTCAGATGAGAGTCGAATATAAGTGCAGTATAGTTGAGGATTATCGGCCAGTCTAAGAATGGGGAAAAAGATGAATCATTATTTCATGCAAATCTATTTTGTATTATATCAATAATTTACCGTGATTTCATTGAAGTTTAAAGTAAAACAGTTGGAAACAACTGGATGAACTGCAAACCAAAAAACTATAATAAAGTGGATAAAATATCAGTTTTCATAAACATCACTTCAAAGGGCGCCGAGTTAGCATTTTTCTGAAGCATATGATAAATTTTGATTCAATTCGATATTCCAGACTTTAGAAAGTCAGAGGGAATTGTGTAAACTTTCACATATGTTGCTGAATATCAATATTCAGAGGTTCGAACAACATATCGACGGTGAAACTACCAAACCACGTATCTCGGTTTGCGACGTCGCAGACTTCCTGTCATACTTTATTTTTTAAATGAAAAACTACTTAACGTCCAGTCTTGAAAATTTCTGTGATTTTTCCTCTTCGTGCGGAGAAAATTCTGTGAAAATTTTAAGGAATGATATTGATTTGGTCTACTTCAAAAAAATAAAATGCGAGCGTAGATTTTTAAACACCGCAAACGAGATACGTGGTTTGGTAGTTTCACCGTCGATATATATCGCCAGAAAAACTCATTGGTTTTTAAACAAGCCATGTAGAAGTTGAAAATTGGTTCAATGATAAAATACACGTCAAAATTCACATTTTAAAGAACTACTTGAGATTTGCTTGCACCATCTCTACGCTGATAAATATAATAAACGATGATTTGGTTCCAACGTCCGGTTGTTGGAGAGCGTTCACCACGGATGAACCTTTCGAATTTGTGGCTCTTAAAATTCAGACAGTCCTGTATGCATGAAATCACACGAATCTTGGTGGCTGGCGTATACCTAAACGTGTGAAGAGGTCTCAGCTCCTTGTTTTGAATGTTGCATACGCCTATAAATGAAGGCATTTTAACACCCGATCGTTTTCTATTATGATTTGCGATATAACCTATACCTATTACCGAATGCTCGCAGTCTGTCTTCATTATTTACTTTTTGCACCAATGCCATCATGACCTCAAAGTTCATCATGTACATCTTAACGATCAGTCGTATTACGTGAGGCGATTTTTCATTTGATATTTCAGCACGAACGGTAACAATAACATCATGAAGTGATGTATAGGGTTCATGTTATAAAAAGGTTAGGCACTTCGTACAAAACAAGCTTTGAGAATAATTTTTGAACGAGAATGACTAAATAATATAGTAAAATAATGTAGTAATAATGTAGTAGTAGTATTATTATTCGAAGAGAATTAAGCTAAAAAAAGTACCTATTTCGAGTGTCGGGGTCCATGAGAGTAACGTATCCATCCTTCCAAGGATGCAAGTGGAGCTATATGAACCAAAGGAAACATTTTTTAGACATAGCAGAGTCGGAAAACTTGAGCTTATCTTCCTAATGGACCACTAGACAAGGTACGAATTTAAGCATTCTGAAACATGTTTCTTAACCAGAATTTCACGTAGAACGCGATTTTCGCAACAAAAATCACTGAAACCAACTCCTAACGGAGATATTAACATTTTTATTTCACATTGGTTACGAGGAATTTGAACTGGCCGCTCACAAGAAACTCAAAGCTCTACGAGAGTCAAATCGCGCACCACAACGGTTTCAGCAAGCCTCTCATTCGAGCAATGTTCATTTTCCACCATGTGTTGTTCAAACTATAAGCAATTTGCTACAGCTGAGCCATAGCGTCAAGATTGAGGTTGCCAGATTTGTAAATCGTAGAGACTGTCATGATAACGTTTAGCGCGCTATGTGAATCACGTAGAACATTGAGTTGTCATGAGCGGGTGGTTTGAATTCACGCATTGAGAATCATTAAATATCTTCGTAAGGAGTTGATTTCGGTAATTTTCGTTGTGTGCATCGTGTTTTACGTGAAATTTTGGTTAAGAAACATGTATCAGAATGCTGAAAGTCGTACCTCATCTAGTGGTCCATTAAGAGCACCTTACCTCTGACGCATAAATGCGTGTTGCAGTATTGATGAATGAACTACTTAAAACTCACATAAGGCACCTAGGGGGNGGGGGGGGGGGGGTCTGTAATAGTCTTACGGTGCACTACGAAGGGGGAGGAGTGTAGGGGTGAGCTTGACGCAAGCTTTCCGGCATATATTTAGAGAAAATGCAAAAATCCATTTTTCGTCGGGTTGATAATAAAATTGAAGATGAAATAAGTAGAGAAAATCAGCGTATCACCGATCGTTGACCGATCGGACCATGCTCCTGTCTTTTCTCTTGGTTCCCACTTCTCAACTTCGTGGGATGATGAGTAGTGACTTCATCTTCACGTCAAATTTATACTTTTAACTATTCCGAAGACAAAAAAATCCTCAATTTTGCTCCAAGTATTTTTGTTTATTAAACTGATTGTATCATTAATATTTTCTATGAACTTTCTTCGAAAATTCAGATTCACTAATAAAAATTCTGACCTAGAATTTTCATTGTTTTTATGAAAGAAAACTGAATGCTTGGATCTGCTTTAATTGGACGTATTTCTATCAAACGGAACTAAGCGCCAATTTGAGTTCCTTTTGAGGAATTTAGAATCCCGGATAGCGCGTTTTGTCAAACGGACCTAAGCGCCATGGAAAAGCATTGCGAGTATAGGACGGAAGAAGCCGGACGCCTGATTCCGCCGCCAATCCAAGCCCCCCTCTACCTTCCTCACCCTATGGCGCTTAGGTCCGTTTGATAGAAATACGTCTAATTAAAAAAAGGGGGAGGGGGTCAGTTGAGCCTTACGTAATTTTTTTATGGGATGCCTGACGGTGCCTTACTAGGGGTAGAGCGGGGGGGCCTAAACATGGGAAAAAGTGCCTTACGTAATTTATGGATGGTCTCAAACCTCAAAGAAAGGAAAAAAGGTGAAGAGAAGTATACCTATGTCGCCGATGACCATGAGGGCAGCGTGACAATCGCTCCGGGGATGCAATGAGTAAATGAAGCCGGCTCTGTATGAAAAATGAACAATGTTTCAGCTCACAATCAGACAGGATAAATTCTCGCACGATGCATCTTATCGCGTGAGGAAAACAGAGGAAAAGTACTACTTACGAGGTCTGTTAGATTAGAAACCGGATTTTGGTCGTAACTAGCCTATTGTGCGTCCAAATTTAGTTTTCTTGATCTTTCCTGATAGCTGAAAATATATTTAAGAAGACGTCCACAGATTTGAAAAATCTTAATTAGCTTCGTTGGTATGTGGCTTCAAGTACGGCAACCTCATAGGTGTTTTGCGATTTTTATGTTTGACCGAAATTGTCTCTCTTTTTTCGGTCTTGCGCTACATTTTTCAATCCACAAGGATGATTGGAGTTTCGTCTCCGTATCTTAGCCGTACACTCAAGTATTTTCACCGAAAATTCTCCTATCAAAAAATGTAGGATCATTTTTAGCACGTTCAAGCAGCTATAGGGAAATTAACATTTGGTTGGATTTTGTTCAACGGACAACAATCAAGGGGCAAGTGTACCTGAAACTCGATGCATGTCTACATATTCTATTAAAATTGTATGTACAGAGCCTTCAGAAATATTACACTGTTCAGCAAGCTCGAAACGACCATTTTCGAGACTTTTGCCCGTACTTCTTCCACGTGACAAATGTTAGTTACCGTTGATGCTCGGTTCCCATGCTCCTCATCTTCAACGAACTCCTGACCAGTACAGTTTTGAATTGTTTAACCCACTCAAAATAGTGAGAACAACTCATATCATGATCTTGGTAAACTTTACTTAGCATACCAAAAGTTTCGGTACAAGGTAAACCGAGCTTAAAACAAAATGTAATGTTAAATCTTTGCTCTGTCAGTGATCGCATAATGAAAATCGCAAAACGCACCTGACTTCCTCGTATTCAAGATGACACAGAATAAACACTGATCAACATAAACAAAATCTGTGAACGTAGCGTTCTTTAGTATGTTATCAGCTATCAGAAAAGTCCAAGAAATCCTAATTCGGACGTACAGCAAGCTAGTTATGACCAAAATCCGGTTTCTAATCTAACAGACCTCGTACTTTGAGTGTACCTTATCTCTCACGCATATTTTTGTGGGTTGACACTTGTATTATATGTGATAATGAGTCATATCAACGAGGCTAGTCCAATAACTTTAATTAGAAGAAAAGAATCAGCGGCTGTTAAAAATCACGTACGCATTTTTGCCGTGAATTTTAGTTAATGAATAACTTCCGGAAAATTTGGCAACACAGTCGTTGGAATTAATCATATCGTTACAAACAATAATGAAAATCAACATTTTTCATCCCTTCAATCAAGATAGACAGAGAAATTCAATAGAATGGGTCACTAAAGCATGCAGAATTTAGACTACAAAATGAAATGCAATAAATTTTTCTGAAGGTAAATGATGCGTGGAACATGGTGCGCACATTTAAGAACGCGAAAAAGTAACTCAGAAGCCGAGAAATAGGTACGGTACGTAGTTATAAAAGTGCAACATTCCTGCAAATTTAAAACGTCCCGATTTTGCGGTGGACCGAATGATGTCATCCGGCACCAATCAGTTGCGAGCACTGGTCTCTACGACTTTCATTAAATGTCTTTCTGCTCTGTATTTATGAAAACAATAGGATAGTCGAAACTGAATCTCCAGAATAAAAAATTGAATTTCATTCATGTCATTGTCGTCTTTAGTAAATAAGCAATTATTCCACATTGCAACATACGTTTTTGTTCAACAAAAATCAGTGGAAATTGAGAGGAGATACCGATTTGACTGCCGCAGTACTTTACTGCCTTCATTTTACCGCCATTGTGGTACGATTGAAATTCCCTCGAGTTTTTGCACCATTTAAGAATGGGTTTGTCCGTATTTTGCCTCCAAAAATATGCAATAAATCACCACGTAATCTCCTCAGTAGGTACTTTCAGAATATCAAATAAAGTAAACACGGAAAAAATCTTTGGTGCTTATAGCCAGACAGTAGGTGACATTTACCATCTTGGATTCCCAGATTCGACCCCTAAGAACAATTTTGCTATGAGCAAAATGATATGATGGTTAGAAACCTCAAACCGCGATCAGGTAGGCGTTGACAACAAAGATGGTAATTCTTACCAACACTGCTGGGAGTGCTGGGTGGGCGCGCCGTCCTCCGTAAACGTCCCGCACAACGTTGCTGAGATAGACCCTCAAAGATGGTAAACTGACCCATCCGGATGTTTAGTGTATCAATCATGAAAGCAAGGAGAACCTAATATCTTGTGTTTTTAGCCATAAAGAGGAGTATTTTCTTGTAAAACGTACAGCTAAAAAAATTGAATACAAAGGTGTGCAATGTCGGGGTTCGCAGCTAGGGGATGGTGGAAAAGGGTTAATCGCGTAAATAAATTTCGAAATCGAGTAAAATGAGACTACGGTACTTATTGTGAGGTGCTGTTGTCGTATCCGACCTATCAAATTATTGTGCCTACCGCGAGGTTTGAACCTAGGACCTATCTAACCCTAGCCGAAGACCCTAACGATTGAGCTATAAAGTATGATGAGAATCTTGACCGAAAAACCTGTACATAGCTTCGATTTGAACGGAAAACCAGGATATTCAATCTACATACTTAGCTTAGTTCATTCATTTTTCTAATTTTTGTATTTCATTTTATTTTTTAACGTTATTTCAGTTTTTCACTTTATTTTATTTCGTTACTTCATTTTAAATTTTTTACTTTATTTTTTTTTCTTTACGTAATATAATTTTTCTTTGATTATTCCTTTTTTATTTATTTACTTTATCTTAATTTTTTCCCCCTTTGTTTCTTTACCTAATTTTAATGTTTTACTTTATTGTTTTTTCTTTACTTAATATTATTTTTCTTTGATTATTTATTATTTATTTCTTCCCTGTGTTTTACCGTTACTTACTTTATTTTATTTCTTACAATTTTTTTTTTTTTACTTTAATTCAGTCACTTCATAATAATTTTTATACTTCATTAAATATCTCTTCGTTGTTATGTATAACTGCATTTTATTTATCTATTTTTTCTTTTTTGCTTTTCATGTCGAGAATCAATTCAAAATTTTCAAACTAGGATTATTTTTATGATTGGCTAAAGTGCTTCTAGCATTGGACAAATAAGCCCAGGCTACTTACTTGAATAAGTGAGATTATGTAGAATAGAAAATAAAAAAATTACCCCTCTAAAGTACTGAAGCCTTGACATGGTGTTAAATATAGTGCATGCCTAGCCTACTGGTAAACCTGGGATGTCTAGCTTAACGACAGCATACAATTGACAAGAAACATTGGTAAAACATTAGTAACAATTGATAACTTTCTGCCATTTCCTTGGAATTTTGAATGTAGACAAAAATTGATTTTGAAAACTACTATTAGTACCAGGGGCCTTTGGCCGCTACGCTGCCGACAACCAATGCGGAAGAAAACAACATACGTAAAAAGTCGTAGAACAACCGTGTTCAAGTTATCTCGGAGATTAATGGATTCAAATACCGTCGATATTTTATTTTTGATCAATGTTTTTAAAAGAATACACACTGCTATTCTAATGAGTTTCCGCAAATTTTCCTGAGTGATTTAAAATAAATAAAAAAAAAATTTGACTTAAAACGCATCATATCCGAAATCTAAGCTCAGATTCGGCTTCCTCGTGAAAAATCGATGCAATTTCATGTATCGTATGGTATCGTATGTCACCATAGCATGAAGGAAAGAGATTAACGTAGGCGCGTAGATTCTAGCATATTAGTCCGACGTGGCAACATGGGTGATTCGGAGTGGGTCAGCTGATGAGAAAGAAGAAGTTTGTTTTCTCGGAAACGGACGAACCAAATGCTTGGCACCGGCGCCTGGCGGCGTAGCTCAAACGTTTGGATTCTGTGCCTACTTCCGCATACCGGCCGACTTTGAAAGAATCTTTACGCCTACGATTACCCTCTTCTCTTTATGATATGGTAATATATGATACATGAAATAGCATCGATTTTCCACGAGGAAGCCGAATCTGAGCTTAGATTTTGGGTATGACGCGTATCAAGTTGAATTTTCTGAATTTGAAATTTTAAGACGGCGGACGTAGCCTAAATTGATACATCGGCTCCCATTCCATCGATTAAATTCGAATTTTTAGTCTAACTAGGGGGATGCGCCCCCTGGCTGCTCCGCGGTCCAACCCCCAAGAGGCGCTTCGCGCCTGTAATGAGCAGATATCGTGAGATCGATAAAAGATCATTAAGAGTTAGGGGAAACCCGGTTTGGAGACGGCGGGAGGGGAGCGGGGAGTGGAGGAAAAACCCAGCGTTACACCCTTAGCGTGACACCCTCGGCGTGACACGGTGTGCTTATGATTTTATACTATACAGTAAGATATTTTCGGGCGAAATGAGAGACGACGTTTCTCCATTTGCAACGTTGCAGACTTCCTTGGAAATTTTATTTTTCTTTCAAGAAGCTGGTCAAGCCGACCAACGCGTTTGTCGATCGAATCAACCGCAGGTATTATGCGTAGGAAGTCGAAACGCCTTCAATTTTTGGAACGCAATGCGGACATCCGTCGAGGTTGTATAGTTGTATCAAGGCGCCGTAGCAAGCGCGTCCCATTGTTTATCGCTACAGACGAATATAAGTTGAGAGAGGCCAGTCATAATGCCTTCAATTTTATACATACATATTTCCGGGCGAAATGAGAGACGACGTTTCTCCATTTGCGACGTTGCAGACTTCCTTAGAAATTTTATTTTTCTTTCGAGAAGCTGGTCAACATGAAACTTATATTCTCCATGGTTTTTCGTATTCGATAGCAGAAGATTTGGTTCAAAATTTATGTTGGATTGTCGCTGCACTTGTGCTATCTTCGGAATATCTTACTTGCCGTCAGCACTCTTGAGTTACTTTACTGCATTAGATAACGGAGTATTGTTACAGCACATTGAATACAAATCGAATATCTCGTATTTTTTTGACTAAGGGTCGACAACTTTTTATCAGTGATATTTGATAATAATATATCTGAAGGTGTCGTCCAGGTTCATGACATCACAAAGGTGGAAAAATATTACCAATGCAACTTCCTCTCCATATGTACCGACTTCTATCCTTATTACATCCAAATACATACAGTTACAAGCCTGAATTTCATCGTTCAACTTCATCAAAATAAGCTTCGCGGCATCGTCAGGAGAAGAGGGGGCGGCAATCCCCCAGAAAGGTGGGTTATTTTCCCTCTCAAATACGTGGGGTGTCTTTTTCAAAGGATTTCTCTTTCGATTGTGTCCGTATCGTTATTGAGAGGCGACTTATTTAGATGTTTAATTTAGCATGACGCATTTAGCACAGGCATCAGTCGCTTTAAATTAAAGATGCTGATCACGCTATATTTTTTTATCACTCAATCTAAGTTTGAAGATTGCTGCCCCGCACCTATGAGGCGCTTGTCCCAAAATTGGACACAAAATGTTGCCAAATTTCCACTGTCCAGTTGTTTGGTAGTAACTTTCCATTCGATTAAAAAACAAACATAATCTAACACACTGTCCTTACTTCCATGTCATCATAAAGTCCTCTCGAGCAACATACAAAATATTTTTCACGATCCGACCCCGTACCGGTGGCGATTCTTGAAAGTTGGCAACACAGTTTTTCCCCCATTTAATGTATGTGAAACAATCGATTTACTGTGAGGCAGCTTGCCTCACAGCAATTCAATATATTTAATGGATTCAATGGAGGAAAATTAGTATTTCCAACTTGCAAAATCGCTCCTGCCACATGATATCACTTGAAATTCCTAAAACTCAAAATAGCAGTCGTCTGGGGATTTGGTGTTTCGAAATCTACACCCCAGGTCGCGTAACGTATCGCTGAATCTTATAAGACCGTAAATTTCAATATGAAGGGAAAAATTCAAACGCAAACAGGCTTGTCACTAGCGATTGGTGCGTCCTGACCCAATCAGGACACCGTAACGTATTTCAATTTGTCTCCTTTTGCATACGCCAAATAGTGGGAAACAGCTCGAGTATTTTTCCCCGTTTTATCGACATTTACGCGAATAAAAATTGTGTTACTATTCCTCTGGCCTAAATTTACGAGAAAAGAAGAATTCGAATGGAACATTTAACTTTAACTGGTCAAGACCATAGGGGACCATTCGAGTATTACGCAAGGCATTTTTGCCAACTTTTTGACTCCCCCTCTCCCCTTGCAAGGCACCCGTAAAAAATCTCTGACTCCCCTTTTTATTGGCCGGGATCCCCCCCCCCCCAATTTTTTCAGAAAAAAACCGGAGAAAGCCTGATAAAATAGCTGGAATAAAAGGGATTTTTTATTTTGATGAAAATCGGCAAAAAAAGAAGCAAATAACTGAAATTTAATTGTCTGAGTGTTTATTAGTTATAAAAAACTGAAATTGGGGACTTTTGAGGGTATTATTTTTACAGCGCATACCTTAAGTAAGACTCGGCTTGATACTCCCCTCCCCCCCATCGTAAGGCTCCGTAAGGCAAGCTCGTAACCCCCAGTCCCCCTTAGTGCCTTACGTAATACTTGAACGGCTCCTAACGGACCATAAGTTTTCAAGAAATCATTTTCATAAATGAACTTCTGCATTATCTTATAAAGTGTCCGGACCGTGACGTCCAAGCAGTAACGCCTCTTAGCACACAAATCGTCACGATTAGGGCAGATACGAGCACTGTAAGCAAACACTAAAATTTGACTTCATTTTCACCGCAGAAATGTTAATTTTTCATACTTACTGCACGATAGAAGCACCTGATTGTAAAGAAATGTCCAATCACAACCTCAAAACCTCTTCAAATAATGTTAGCCAATGGCGCGGCGTCGTGCGTGGAAGAAATCGGCACGATCTGTGAAAGAGAGTAATGATGATTAATTAGTGAACGGTTTGAACTTTGTACTTGAGATGAAAACGAATTTGAACTTCAGCGAAAGCGGGATGAGAGGGCCGTTGTTGATTCGACCGAGTTCATCAGAAAGGAACCAACCCACATGAAGTTGAAACTGAAAAAAAAAGGTTTCAAGTTTGAATCCTGCATACGGCTCAATGTGAAAAATAAACTTTAACCCCTCTTTCCACAAAATTTTGTTGTTGTTAGAATTTCAGTTTTTTGCAGGAGGAAATATATGGCTAGTGAAACTCGAAAACATTCTTAACTCCATTTTTTCGAAATTTGGGTTGATTCCTTTCCTATGAACTCGGTCTAATTGGCATAGCTGGTTTGCCGCGATGGAGTTTATTAGAGTGTGGGCGGACTATTGCTCAGCCAGGATATTGCTCCAGGTGCCCGCCTTCCGAATTTGGGGGACGGACAGTAAATCAAGGGAGCTTTCAAGGTGGATGACCGATCAAGTCAGTTTACGTTAAGAGGCCTTACGTAACGCACTTAAAGAGGGAGGGGAGGGGGATTTGGCCAACGTTACGGTGCGTTATAAGAGGGGGAGGGGGAAGGGGTCAAGCCCACCGTTACGGAACAAATCCAAGCCGGAGGAAAGAGATTTGGAAAAAATGTGAAAAAAATTGGAATCCCCGCCCCTCCCGAACGAATTTTTTCCCTTCTTTGTTGATCTCTTCCCATCGTATTTCAGCGATGAATGTAAAAAAAAAACTCGATTTTTTTCCTAGCTGTTTTCTTAACGTTTCCTTGATTTTTTGAAAATGGGGGGGGGTCAGGCCAGCGTTACGTAATTCAAAAGGAAGGGTGTAGGGCTGCGTTACGGGTGCGTTACAAGAGGAGATGGGGGGGGGGCTAAAAAATCGTAAAAAGTGATTTATTTATAATACTTGAACGGCCCCTAACGCACCTCAGAGAAGTTCAGTGGAATTTTAAAATTTCTATAAATTGTGTGGCTCTACTAGAGTTAAATTGGTAGTAGGTAGGTACATTCTTAGATGAGCCGGGTGAGTCATCTAAAAAGATCTCGATTAATCGTTGCAGATAATCGAATTCCATTAACCGCTCGTGTTGATTAATTATAATTTTCACACGATTAATAGATTAATCGCCCGACCCTATAATGTCGTTGGGCATTCTTTAGATGCAGCTGCCAAGTCAAAAAGAGCTATTTTCCCCGACCTTGCTATCGCAATTTCTCATTCCAGGTTTTTTCGGCTCCTCCTGCTTTCCCTTTGCCCTTGACTACCTAACATTTCCTCTCCTCTCAAAACTTCAAGTTGTTTTTCTTTTATAAAACATATGTTCCTCTCTTTAATTTCTAATTACCGTGTTTTCTATTTTTAAACATGTTATGTTAATTGCATTTGAACTTTTCTCTCCGACCTAATTACTGCATACATTAGATGCAGCTTGTTTCAAATTATTGCTGGCTTTTTTCCTTGTCAAGATAAGGAAAAATGCAAGGTTATCTGAGACGAACTTACTAATTAAGACATTTTAAGACCCTCCCGGTTTTTACCGTGTCTTTATAGCCAATTCAGTTCATTTGAGGCGGCTAGAACCAAAAGCGGAAATCTCCATTGCCCTGTCAATAATTGTGCAAGCATATTAATTCTCTACAAGGAACAGCCAAAACGTCTAACTGTTTTTGAAATTTTCCAAATTTTCTCGCTTGATAATAGACAATTCACGAGGAATATGGAGGAATTCTCGTTATTTTCACATTAAATTTATGATGATTACACAATTTTAGACAGGGCATTGGAGATTGCCACGTTTGGTTCTAGACGCCTCATTTGTTCCCGCGACTGCAAAACGTAAATGTCCCTACCATTTTATTCGTCTCACAAAGAAAACATTTTAGAAAGATTTTTGCAAAATCACCTCCACGATACTTCTTATCTGTGTGAAGAAAACTCTGTGAAAACTGCAGAGAATGATATAGATTTGTTTTCCTTTAAAAACATAAAATGAGAGCAGAGATTTTTAAACACTGCAAACGAGATACGTGGTCTGTTAGTTTTACCATCGATCCATAGCGTGTCACGTGAATGTATCAGAAAATTTGCCAATAGCAAATTTCAATAAACTGACGAATTTCGACCTCGAAACTATTTTCGTTATCTTATGGGTTTTAATTTCGATGAACAAAGGGTTATCGAACATTTATGAAGTGTCGTCTCGGTTTTATTCGGGAAACCTAAGTGGAAACTGTTTCTTTAATTTTCAAATGCTTTTGACAATGTTTCAACAAATATTTCGTATATTGGAGGGAGACGGGTTTATCTGTCATGGTTACGCGGTACTCGTCGCTGTGAGCAGTGAGCGTTGCCACCAAACGAAAACGCCTTCAGTTTCCGGTGATACATAATCACTTTCACTGGAGCAAGGTTCCAGTAAGAAGAATGGGACCGGGGGTTTAGTTGGGCCGCGGTTTCTTTCGGTCCTTTTTTAATGTTCGTAGTCTCTCTCTCCCTCTCCAAAAAAGCCATTACCATTTTGGCGCCCCCCCCCCTTAAAATGGTGCCCGTGGCACGTGTACCCACTTGCCCCCCCTTCCCTCGGATCCGCCCCCAACAGTTGTCCTCTTAGTTAGTAAAAACAAGACAATCTTGCCATTGACAATGTACCTTACAGTGCTATTATTTTGGGTTCCAGACTTTCCCACGCACGTGGCAGAGTAAGACGAAGTGTCCTATCAATACTAAGAACTGAAGCAGCATGACGAATTATAAGAGAGTTACGTCAACTATTGTAATGGACTCGTCGATTTCACGTGGGGTGGACGCAATTCTTGGACAGCAGAAAGAGGATGGTCACTGGATCTACGAACTGGAAGCCAACGTAACTTTTCCATCACAGTATATCCTACTCCTTCACTACCTCGGCGAAACACCTGAAACCACCATCGAGCGGAAACTCGCTCGATACATACGACGCCATCAACTCCAGGACGGAGGCTGGCCGCTGTACACCGATGGACCAATGGACATCAGCCCGAGCGTGCATGCCTACTTCGCTCTCAAGATGGCTGGCGACTCGCCAGACGCCGAGCACATGGTGCGCGCCCGCCGAGCCATCCTTGCGGCGGGTGGCGCCGAGGCGGCTAGCGTCTTCACACGCATCCATCTCGCATTATTCGGCGTCTTGACGTGGGACGCAGTTCCAATAATGCCAATCGAGATCATGAAGCTGCCCAAGTGGTTTCCGTTCCACCTCTCAAAACTCGCGTACTGGGCTCGCTGCACTATGGTTCCTCTTCTCGTGATCATGGTCAAACGCCCGGTTGCACGCCGCAGTGTCCGCATCGACGAACTGTTCAACACTTTGCCGGAAACCGTGGGGCTGACATCGCGCGCACCCCATCAAAACATCGGCTGGTTCGAATTCTTCCGCGGTCTTGATGTCGTGTTGCGTCGTATCCATCCGCTCATGCCGCCAGGGTTACAACAACGAGCGACAGACATGGCGGTCGCCTTCGTCGACGAACGACTAAATGGCGAGGATGGTCTCGGTGCCATCATCCCGGCGATTTTCTATTCAATCATCATGTATGACACACTCGGCAATCGTACATCCCGTGACATCGCCCGCGGCGCACTTGATCGCCTCCTAATAATCCGGGGTGATGAGGCGTACTGTCAGACAGTTATGTCGGCGACGTGGGACACTGTGCTTGCTGCGTGGGCGCTCCTCGAGACCCGCACGCCACGGGCCGAAGAAGCGGCGAAGCGTGGGCTACATTGGCTGCGCCGACGACAAATCTTGGACGTGCGGGGTGACTGGATTTCACAGCGGCCCAAACTACGTCCTGGCGGATGGGCTTTCTATTACAATTGCCCGTACTACCCAGACGTGGACGATACCGCAGTTATCGCCATGGCCATGCACCACGCGGACCCCAAAGCGTTCGCGGAGTCCATCGCCCGCGCTCGCGACTGGGTAGTCGGCATGCAGAGCAAAAACGGCGGGTGGGGGTCGTACGACGCGGACAACACGCACCTCCACCTGAACAACATCCCTTTCTCGGACCACGGCGCCTTGCTGGACCCCCCGACGGCTGACGTCACAGCGCGATGCTTGTCGATGATGTGTCAGTTGGGCGTGCCACCGACCGAAAGTAAGGCTGCACTCAGAGCTTTCAAATTTGTGTCGGATAGCCAGGAGAAAGACGGGAGCTGGCTAGGGGACTGGGGTGTCAATTACATTTACGGCACGTGGTCGGCATTGAGCGGGTTGAACGCGGCAGGGCTTGCGCACGACGATCCAAGGATCCAAAGGGCTGTAGGGTGGCTCCTTGCCGTGCAGAATGGGGATGGAGGGTGGGGCGAGAGCGCGTCTAGTTACGAGTTCGAATATGCTAGGTACGTACCTGCTCCGAGCACCGCGACGCAGACTGCTTGGGCACTCCTGGGGTTGATGGCGGCCGGTGAAGTGGAGAATACGGCGGTGAGGCGTGGGGTGACATGGCTTCTGGAGAGGCAACAGGAACATGGATTATGGGATGAGGCGCTGTATACTGGCACCGCGTTCCCGCGTGTGTTGTACCTCCGTTACCACGGTTATGCCAGGTACTTCCCATTGTGGGCTTTGGCTAGGTATCGTGACCTGACATCGAGTAACAGACATCGCGTAACGCTTGGGATGTGAGGCAGATTGAGACATAGAGAAATAGAATTTTGAACAGTTCAGATGGGATGACCAGGCATCATTTGGCCTGAAGAACGCTCAAAATACCAAAAATTGAGCCCTTGGCAGCATCTCAAAGGTTGAGGACGAAAAACACCATTGAAAATGCTGATTATGGCCTGAAAAGAACTTTTATTCTTGATAGAGTTCAACGTTGCTCAGCATTGAAATCTGACGATTGTTAAGGGCGTCATGGATAACGGGGGATGGACTGCTTGAAGTGTGGAGAGGGAAAGCCTTACACACCTCCGCGATTTTACGGCAAAATAATTAATTGCTGATTTTTATTGAGTTCATGATGATTATTATCTCACGATATATTTGACAAAATCAATCGCCACTTTTGACGCACAGCACGATGCAAAATGTACCGCAAGGTGGAAACTAATATTCTTTCACACAGCAAAAAAAAATCTGTTTGCGGTCAAAAATTTCGGTTGTCAGTTTTCAATGCTAAATGATGTCTAAAACTCCTAAGAATAGTAGGTCTAAATTTCGAATGATTTACCTAATTTATAACGTTATAAGCGTATGAAATCGATCACTCCCTGGATTTTTAACAAACGTCAAAAACAGAAACTCAAATTCTGTCTTTCATCTTCAAACTTTGAATTACTGCCGAAAGGTTAATTTCTGAGTGTCCTTTGCATCAAATGATGCAGCGTTAATCTGTCTTAGCTGCTGTATAAGATGCAACACGCATTTTTATGCGTGCGAGATAAGATGCGCTTAATTAACGAAGATTATCAGTATCCACCAATTTCCCTGTACGATAAATCGTGCTTTATAATAGTTTTTTTCCGTCTCGTGACAGTCTGTTTTAAGCTTCATTCGCATCACTTAAACGATGAATTCGCTACTCTCATGGACCCGGATACTTGACTTAGGTACCCCCTCACATTTAATTTTTTCATTTATTTCTAACTTTCTCTGAGAAAAACCTTGAGCTCGTTTTTGTGTTTGATTAAATAGTAATAGATATAGCATGAACAGAAACCGTATAAGGCATTATACACGATTTTTAGAAACTTCTTGCCATGGTATTGAAAGAAATCGTATCAAATAAACATTGGATGTTTTGAAAAGGTGAACATGTTCGGTACAAACACAAAAATATTTTGTATTTTAAAGTTGACTTAACAAGCATTTTTCTTCATTCTTTTTTATACATGAACCGACCATGGATAACATACGAACAGAAATTGTAAAGTAAGATAGAAAATTTGTGTTTGATTGAAGTGTAATGAGCCTCATTTCCTCATTGGAAACTCAAAGTTTAAGTCCAAAGGTAACCATAAGTAACGAACAACAATTGAAAATGTACTCTCATATTCTATGACAAGTCGATCAAAACTATAATCCTTCCTCTGTATAATCAAGGATTGGAAAATAAAACAAGAAATCTACGAAGAAAGCGAAAGTTGGTTCAGCGAATTATAAAACATGTCTGTAAAAAAGAGATCTTAAGCTTTTCAGAGCGCCCAATATTGACTCCAAACCATCGTTCATCAAGTCATTCAGTAAAAAGCGTAGACATTTCTATTCAAATGTGTCACAAACGAGAAAGCCAGGCTTAAAAGCAACGAAGAACATGTACAAAACGTATTTGCTCGTCAAACTTTTTACATGAGAAATGATCCAGTAGGGTAATTCAGAAGCTCAAGTACTGATGAGTGAAATGAGTCAATGCTATAACCGTTCTTTAATATATCCTGCTTAGAAACATTGTAGCCATAACATCAGGATAGAAAACGCATCATATACATATGGTTTTTACCGTATTAAATGCGTAAAATAAAACACATGGTTTAGAAAAAATGTAAAACAATCAGTAGTTGTAGCATATAAAATACGCAGATAATTTACAGATTGAAATTCATACTTAAAAATATGCATTTTAAATCTCGTAAGTGGACATAATACAAAGTATTTGATTCTTTAGTATGTGATTCAATGATGTAAAATACACGTATATGATATTTTTAGCCCAGCAAATCTACCGAAAAAAGAGCGAGATTTTGGGAAAGTTTTGACAAACCTCTTTCATGTTTTAAAGCACTTATAATAGTCATAACTCTCCTCCAATTTATTGTAGAAAACTAAAAATTTGCCATCTTTTGAAAATTTTTGGACGTCACCTTCCTCTCTTTCATAATGAACGACTTCTTATTGATTGCCTGATGATTATCTATACGCGTCTACTGTCTTAAACTCGTTCAAGTTTTTAATCACTTACGGTATCTTCATGAAATTCTCAATGTTTGGTGGTATGTGGTTAATATCTTAGCCAAAAGACTACCTGCTTTATTTTCAACTCTGTTAAAATTGCTGTAAATTGTTTCCATAATATTCAGAATAAATTTGTATGAAATAAATAATCGAATCAATTTTAATTCACAGACAGGTCACTGGTCCTCAATTACACTAAACATATTTTCCACTCTCATCTGAACGCCACTTTCGGTGTTGCCGAGGGCAGATGGGTTGAGCCCGAAGTTATTTCGTTAATCTTAGAATCAACAGCATTGATCCAGAGGCATTGGATTCTCGCACTCATTTTATTTATTTTCCTCACATTTTTCATTTACAACACATTTTTCCCTGCATATTATTGCCAAGTAAGCGCATTATGATTATTTTCTTACCTGCATACCAAGTACGTTCATTAGGAATGTTTATTTTTATCGATATAAGTCACGATGGTGATTCGAAAGCACAGTTACGGCCAAGTGAATAAACTTTCCATGCGTGAAATCACTTGGAAATCACATTGGTCATATCAAATAAGCATTCAATGTACCCCTTAGCGCGTAACCTACGCGATCTGTGACACGCATTTTCAAATTTACCGCGTCTTCAGGTACTTTTCCAAAATGGCCCGACGACAGTCAGGTTTACCCAGAAAGAAACGAAACCAAAATAAACAAACAATTTCTCAAACTTTTTCTAGTGTAAAATTGTATTTGTTTTCTGGTATTTGTTTCCCTCGTCTTTCTTAGTTTTGCAAAAACAAAAAAAAAGAAAACTTTAAATTGATTGAAATCTTACGTAAGTGAAGATTTGAACGGATCGCGAGCTTTGTTCGCGAGACTGTTTGTTTATTTGGGTAATGTTTTCTAAAATCTCCCTTTGGGCAAACCTAATTGACCTGAGGATTGACCAAACTATTTATAAAATTGACTTTCGTTTCTCATTAAATACATATGTTTCAAAACATATTAAGACAAGTTCATTGGAGCCACTCGTTTGGACTCAAACGATACCTCAGAAAGTCAGGGAGGAGTAAACTGATAATTAATATTACTTTAGGTGCTAGTTCGATTGATCTGAAACTATTTTGTTTGTGAGGGTAATTTTAGGACGATCTCTCTAATACAGTGCTGTTGAATACAGTAAAATTTGTATTAAAAAACCGCATTTTTTGTACAGGATTTGAGCGGTATTGACGGAGATGCTCATTTTAAGTTAGAGTCTGAGTCAAGAAATTTTGGGCTGTCAACCAAAAGGCGGCTAATAAATCGCCTTCGCACTGATTCAAGGTTTTCGAACTTACCACTCTATCCGAATGGGTGGTTTTGTCTTTTGGAATCTGCTTCCCTCCGAAATAATAAAGTCAAATATGTATCTGCTTTAGGTAATTCATTTTACTTGTGTTTACAAGCCTTTCATTAATACTAAAACCATTGAGCTAGCAGTTTCTCTTACAAGCATTTTAAATTATTTTTTTCATTTGATACACTTTGAGAAACCGACTCAAAATTTCTGCAAATCATTCTGTTGAATTAAACAATAAGAAAGCTTGATTTAGACGTAGATTCAAATGCTATGTAAGCTACACCGGCGGATCAAGCTGGCTCTCTTCGATTAAGTCCTAAAAAACGGAAGTTGCTGAAAACCAATTTCTTAGTTTTTCAACCCTCATTATATCTTCCTTTTATTTGGTTTATTTATCTTCGCCGAAAAAGCTTAAGAGCATACTGTATAAGTGTGAAACTGCATAATTTTAGACGGCTATAATACGAATAATTTTTGATCGTTCACCTAAAATTACACTTCAGCAAGAAATTTCAATCACATTTTCATTTCAGGGGAAAATTTTGCTGTTTTTCGGACTTCAACAGGCAAAGTGCACATTGTTGATGCCTATTGCCCTCATTTAGGAGCTAACCTAGGAGTAGGTGGTATGGTGGAAAAAAATTGCATCACATGTCCTTTCCATGGATGGAAGTTTGATGGGGAAACTGGAAAATGTACAGATATACCTTACAGTAAATGCGATAGTAAGTTTGTCAAAATAATTTTTTGGAAACTGATGTGAAGAAGTATCCCTAATCAAAAGATACTGCGGAGAGTTAAAATTTGTCATATTGAAATCTTATCAGGCAAAAAACGGTTGTTCGACCTCAAATTTCGGAGGTCTTAAATAATCAGTATTCCAAATCTTCATGCGCTCTTGTCTGACACTCAACGTAGAATGAGCGCATCGATGCAGTGACGAGAGTGAGGTTTATTGCCATCAGTGGCGTGGCGTGAATTGCGATATATAGATTGTTATGCCATTTAAACCTATGGCAAAGAATCGATTATTAAGGTGTTCGCTGCGAACACCCTGTTTATCGATCCTTTTTCATAGGTTTATATGCCATACCAATCGATATATCGCAATTCACGCCACGCCACTGATTGCCATAGAACCAAAATATGCCTAATTTGAAATCATAAAATTACTTACTCGGATAGATAAGACCATATTAAATATCATGAAGCCCACCTTACATTTCTGATGTATAAGATAGATGAGAGTTATATACATATAGGATCATTGATTTGGGAAAATCACAGCATATTTTAAAACTAAACCTGAACTGTCCTCAAATTTCATAAATAAAAGACACGTCAACGCATTTTGATGACAACTCAGAGATATAACTTTTTGTGCTTGATACATTTTCGTGTTGCAACCACACAATTAAAGGCGTGATGGCGTGAACTCGCAATGCTTAGTTGTACGCTGACAATGAGGTGTCGCTCATATTCGGGGAAACAAGTTAAAAAACTAGCCCCGATTACATATTTTCTATCTTCGGTTGTGTAGCTCAAGTAGCTCTTGAAGCAAAACTACAAATAACAAACGGAAATAAACACAATATAGAAAAATAGGGCAAAGGAAAGGATGAGAGTTGATGAAGGGGCAGAGATACAACTATTCGTGCCTGATGGATGTCCGTGTTGCATCTGCAAAATTGAAGGCGCGATGGCGCGAGGCGTGAACTTGCAATGCTCCGTGTATGCTGACCCCGAGGTGTCGCTCAGATTCATATTGGGAGAAAAGTTGAAAAACGGGCCCCGAAAGGCGAATACCAGTGGCGTGGCGTGAATTGCGATGTATCGATTGTTATGGCATTTAAACCTATGGTAAAGGATCGATTATTAAGGTGTTCGCTGAGAACACCCTGTTTATCGATCATTTTCCATAGGTTTAAATGGCAGAGTAATCGATTTATCGCAAAGCACGCCACGCCACTGGCGAATACGTCCCTTTTCGGCTGTGTTGACACTCGATTTTTGGAGATACTCCTCGAAATACGTCGGGAAGAGATCAACAAAGGGCCGGGCAGGATTTTAAAGTGTTTGCAAATGTTTTTCAAAGTTTTTTTCCCCGGCTCAGATTAGTTACGTAACGCTATGCTTGACCTCCTTTCCCCTTTTAACGCATCGTAACAGTGGCTCAAACCCCCCTCCCCCTTAAGTGCAGTACGTATTTCTTGAACGGCCTCTAAACACGTCAAACAAAATGAAAACAACGATTGCAAGTACCGAACCAAAGAGAATAAATGCACGAAATGTACTTTCCTCCCCATGTCAGTAGACTTGAACTCCAACTTTATGCTTCTATTTCTTTATGTCCAGTACCTGAGTCTGCAAAGGTTAGAACTTGGAGATCTCGTGAGGTGAACCGTTTGATTTTTGTATGGTACCATGCTGATGGAGGAGAACCAACATGGGAGCCAAAACCGATTCCTGAAATAGAGAGTGGAAAATATTGGCTCGTCGGTAAAATTGATTACGACGTCGGTGCACCACTACAGGTGGGATCTCTTTATTTTCAACATACAATTATAGCTTAACTTCATCTTGAAACAACTATATCTAGGTTCAAGAGCAGGGACCTCTTATTCTGCTATGATAGCGAAAAGAGCAGTAAGTGTCAAAATGAAGTGCTCAAAAGCATCTGAGCGGAAAATTTTATTGAAAGAAGCCTCTGTTTTTTGTCAAATCGTTTTGAAGATTAAAATTCGACCAATTTTATTGTAAGTGCATAAAAAGGGTATTATTCATTTTCATGGTAGGCTGATGTTAGACACGACAGCCGTGCAGCCGTAGTGCTATCTTCTGCATGCTTTCATGGTTGCGTTCTGGACGCACAACAAACACATTTTCAGGTCAGAAATTGGCAGAAGAGGGCGGAACTTAACTTGAAAGCGCTGTTTTCATTGGCTCTCTGGTGAATTAATGTCACTTACGGCTGTTTTATCTGAAACTACATCGCATTTTTTGCGCACTTACGGTTTTTTATAAGTCTCGTTTTCATACAAATAAGATGAATCATGCCATTTTGGCTATTTCAGTGATTTCATCCATAAGAGATTAGACAAATTTTGAAGGATACTCGATTTCAAATATGTGCCACTTACTGCCCTCTTCCCTATCACGGCAGTACTGTCATTACTTTACTAGATTATACACTGGCAAAAAACACGCAGTCAAAAATGCTGGAAAAATATACACAGGGTGATCAAGACCACCGCGTGCTATATTTATCATTTATTTTGGGTCGGACGAAGTTGAGAAACGTGGGGAAAAATAAGGGGATCTACCCCCAAAGAATCCTATTTCATCGTGCCGAAACACCCCCCCCCCCCTTCGAGGAATTTTACTGGGTGCACCCCACCAGGAGCAGAAGTTTGCTCAGAAGTTAGAACGAAAATAGCTTATAGTAGTAGCCATAGTAGTTGTATTTTCAGTAAGAACTCTTTATTGTCGAACTTGCATCAAATTCAGAGCGAAGCATTTGAAAATATGTGTCAAGATTTAAGAATTGACAGCCCGAAAACAGGTTTTCAAAATATTGTGCTCGTTTTAAAACATACAAAGAGAGTGTGTCTGGTGCGTACTTTCAATCTGATGTGATACTAGCCGTTCTGGGCGATATGTCGTCCGGACGATTACGATATATCGTGATTAAATCGCTATACGCCGCAATTTTACGTTCGATACAATTTCGACCAAAACTCGTCGATAAAATCGAGATTAAATCGTCATATATCGCGACTTTGATCTCGATGATGTCGCGAAAAATTCCCGAGCGATGAAATCGCGATCTTTTCGCGATAAGATCGAGGATAATCCCTCAGATGTTGACGATCTTAGAAATTTTATCGCCGATAAAATCTCAGTATAACGCGATTTTTCCGTTGAAAATTGCTACTTAGGTGGTCGAGGGAAAAACTTTTAGTTGTGAAGTTTCGTTGCAAATCTGATATAGTTAACCTTGTGCGTACTTTCAATTTTTTTTTTTTTTTTTTTTTTTTTTTTTTTTTTTTTTTTTATTCTAGGATATAATGGAAAATGCAGCCGACTTTGCCCACATGAACTTTATACACACGTCCTTGCCTTTTGTTGGAATTAGATTGGACAATTTTTGGGATAAGTTGTCAAAAATTATTAAATTATTTTATCGGGCCAGCTGGACACATGATCCTAAGGAGCCTCATGTAGCAACCACACAGATCTTTGGTGACTTGCAATTTATGAACAAATACAGTTTGGTTAAAAGTAGTGCAACGGTGACATGTGTAAGTATTCCTTCTTTTTTCATATATTTTCAAGCAAAGTAAAGTGATTCTAGCCCTGTGCAGTGTAATTATTGAGTGAAGAGGTGTCAGCGTTGTGTTGCTGAAGTAACGTGGAGTATGACCAGATTAGTATTAGAAGGAAGGATACAAGCTTTTGAAAATGTGAAAATCCTTTAAATGGCAAATGGGGATATAAGTTTGAACATGTTAATTCTATTTGAATAGAGATGCAAGTAACTTGCTGTCAGCGAAGAAGGACACAGCTCCCTCTCCTCCTATACAGCAACGACCCTGAAGCAGCGTAGGAATTTCAAAATTGTTTTGAAGTGAAAGAGACAATTAAAAAAAAAAAAAAAAAAAAAAAAAAAAAAAAAAAAAAAAAAAAAAAATTCTGCATCAATAGACGCACTACGTATAAAAATTTATGTCTAAAAAATGAATACTTTTTCTTTCGTTTTGTATTCTTTCCATTATTAATTATTTATATTCAATACCTAATAAACCAAACTCCGTTCCAGGTTGGCCCAGGGTTAATAGAAATCAGTACCAAACTAGCGATTGGGTTTGGGGGTGCTGTGGCAACACATTGTTTCACGCCCATCGGACCATTTCAACAAAGGTCTTTATTTCTATGGTACTCTCATCCTACGACTATGGTAATAGGTCGAATGATTCTCAATAGTGCGCTAGTAAACGTAAGTATGGCAAAGTAAATTTTAAAGCAGCTAGGAAACTGTACATCCTGAGTGTTATTATAAGTGGTTTTATGGACTGCTCTGCCCTCAGGAATCTCAAATCACAGATTTACTCACCTACAGTCAAAAGGAATACAAACCCACTACACTACACATGGAATAAAATGTCTTTTTTCTACATTGACCTGGGGTACTTTATGTTAAAATGTGCATTTGTACAATGTTGATCCAACAAAAAAAAGTTTTTGTTGGATTTGAATTGCCGTTTATAGTTCCTAATAGCTTTCTATGATATATATACCAAAATTGAGTTTCCGAGAAACAAAAAACGAATCAAAGTATTTTAAAAATGTCGACCCTCATGTCGCAGTAATGAAAATCACGTGCAGTATTTGAATATTTCAATTTTATAATTATTAAATGTGTCTTTTATATCATCTGCCCCTTTGTTCCAGCTTGAGCGAGATATATTTATGTGGAAATACAAAGGCATTGCAGCAAAATCGATCCTCGTGAAAGAGGAGGCACAAATGAAGGCATTCAGGCGTTGGTACAGCCAATTTTTTTCTGAAAATACTCCTCGCTTAAAGTTTCAAGTTGATGCGTTATGTTGGTGATGAAAGGCAGAGAGTTAAATACGTTTTAATTCCCTTACGTGGTTGTGCTATTTATGTATTCCCACAGATACACGACGACGTGCAGGAAAAATAAGTAGCTGCTCGAATGGCTCCATGTAAACGTATCTATTCCAAAAATTAAAAATCATTATCTCTAATTACTCCTCCTTCCTAATCCAAAATAAACCAATAAGTTGTCGGAACAAACGATTTTATCTCCAGTTAAACGAGTAGTTTATACATTTTGCCGCTCCTCTGGCGTAAGGGTGTATCTCTATTTTGGAATGAGCTCCATTATTCGTAAAAGCCCTGCTTCTCTGACAATATCTTTGCTGTAAGGCACCTCTGTAAAAAAAAACAAATTCTACTACTAAATATCCAATAAATCCCACTGACGGTAATATGTCGCCTTCTTGTTGACTTATTACATATTTTCCTCAGCATACAGGTAAAAGTTTCCGAGGAAACGGCTTTTTTCAATTTTTTGTTTCATTTATTGTAAATCCAATTTTTCCCTGCGTGGAAATCACTAAAAAGTATCTGAGGGGCGTGGAGGACAAGGCACATTCGTGCATTTTTTTGTTATTTCGAGAAATATGTACGTGCTTGCGGTTTCGAAATTACATGCGAATCCTCGTGGCCGAAAAAAAAAGTTTAGACTGGCTTTTTGATGCTTAAATATTGGAATTTGGTAGCGAATTTTTGACAGAATATGCATGTCGACTATTTTGATACTTGAATTCATTAATAACTCAATTTTTTCAAAAACTGCACCTAAGCGCCTTGTCTTCCAAGCCCCTCATTTGGTAATTACATCTTTTTGAACCATCAATATTGATCTAGAACGCAATTATTTTCCATCCGTTGAAATCTGAACCCATCCATTTCTCGGCACGAGCGCACGTGCTTTTTCACTTTTTTTTGTTGGTATAACGAGATAATGCGCCTTCAATGGAGGCCTTTCAAATAGCAAAACAGAGCAAATCAAATTAACCCCTGTCCAAACATAAACTAAGAAGAATAGAGCACGAGGTATAAACAAATAATCTCGACAATGCGCCGTTACTCGGATACCTAGTTGTCTCTGTGAGGAGGCTGTTTGGTGAGTAGGAAGTACGAATAATCCCTTAAGACTAAATGACAAAAGAGGAAGACTACGAGAGAAAAAACAAAAACTAATAGATGAAAGCAAGAATTTGGGAATGCACGTGGGGTGAGACAAGCAGTGCTGGAACTGGCGCATGCACGTGTGATGATGTCACGGAAACTGGAGAAGCTGCACTTTATATCCCGGAAGCTGTGCGATTGGACGTATGTATGCTAAAAGGAACTATATGCACAGGGATTGCCCGCAACATAGTTCCTTTTAACATAAATACGTCCAACTAAGAACTGGAACGGCGAGCTCGCCAACGTCTTGAATACGTAATGCTATTGACTGCAAGAAGTAGTAATCGTATATTGATAATTTATTGTAATTAAAAAAATATAATCACTGTCCAAGTGCAGAACAAAAGAGTAATGGTTTTTAATCCTACATGACATAGATTCACAACAATGATTCCACTCAGTATTAAAGTAATTTATCAATAAAATAATGAATCGCAGAAGTTTGGGCCTCAAAATTTCTGATCGGCGAAATGATCAAAATGGTAGATGACCTCCGCTTATAGAGACACATAAAAAGATACCCTCCCCCTATGACATACGCTTTTAAGCATGTTCAAGAGTGCACAATTTTATTGGTTTTGTTGGTTATGAAAAGAGACTTTAGTGGGGCGGATTCTTGGAATTGTTGCGCTTTCGGAAACTTACATTGCAAAGTTGGGAGGCTATTGCCTTTAAATTAAATTGTTCTTCAGTTGGAACGACGTGCAGTTTTCTTAAACATTTTTATCATTCTGCTCTCTCAACAGCGCAAACGTCTTCGATTATTTTTTTTTTCAGAGGACTTTTTTAAGAAACATCTAAAATTCAGTGATTTGATAGAGATATGACAGCGCGAACGAACATGTTCAAATTTTGTCAAATACACTCGTGAGCGGAATGAGCTGCATAATGTTTTGCCTATCTTGCAATATGAAGGAATTTTGTGGCGTCTCTATATTCCTATTTGTCAACAGAGACTGTTGTAACCAAATTCAGGCTCTACACCTCAACGCATAACCAGTATTACCCTTATCCTCCCTCACCCCCCTATTCATCCTCATTATCTTATTATTTTAATATTCATTTTCTTTACCGGCCCTTCAAAAATTTCAATATACATAAATTAATTTTGAATAATTGCGTCAATGTTACATACCTGAAAATTTGCATTAATGTGTTTATTAACGTTGCATGTATGGAAACACTTGTTCCGACTACAGTGATTCAAGATTTCCGCTATTAAGAAAGAGAAATAACGAAAACAGTAACTTACTGGGAAATATTGATTTGACATTTTCAGAGGAAATACTTGATAAGAAAGAAAATCAGGCGTATTCATTGCACTTTCATTAACATTTGTGCAGAAGTGACGCTATGTAATATTACCTCTAAAAAAAAAGAAAAAAAGAAGAAATCTGAAAAATTACGAACCGTGCCACTTCTTTTCTTTAAATATTTTCATTGATAACGAAGTTGCAACATTTGTTAACGCAGTATGCCGCCGATATGTTTCAGTTTTTAAAGAAAAATTAACTCGGAAAACTTTTTGTAACTATGTCAAAAAAATTCCAACAAATCTTTGGAATAGATGGAGAACATTCGCAAAAAATTTCAAGGAAAACGCTTTGTTACTTTACTCTCAGATAAACAAAAACCACGATAAAAGGTGTACAACGTCGTAATAGCTACGCATTTTTTTTTTTTTTTACTTCAGCCATCAATGTTTTTTGATCATTTTCTGCTTAAGCAAAATTTGTGTCCATTAATCTGTTGCCTGGATCCGACTTTATACAATTTCAGCTGTCTTAATTTTTTCCAGTCAATCGTAAAAGAGTAAGCCATGCGGTCTGCGGAGCCAGAGTGGCATGGAACGTAAGAAAGAAATGAAAGATTGGAAATTTCAGTAAAATACTTCACACAATTTCATGAGGCAGTGAAAAATTGGATATTTTTCAGGGGTTAGAGTATGCAACCCGCACTCAAACAAACAAAAATAGAAGGAAGTAACTATTTTTACATTTTACGAAACATAAAAAGGAACCGGTAATTTTCAATATCTTTCATGAATGTCTATAATTTCATGAAATATTCCACGTGAAATTTCAAGCTTTTATTTTTCATGAAATTGTGCTACCCTGTAACGGAGCACGGGTGTGATTGTGCAGGAAGTGATGCCCTGATTTCCGATCCAAGTAGGGATGGGGGTCACTAAGCATGCATGTAATTAGATGCGCTTGCTCACCAATTTTTTCTTCTGCTGGCAGTAGAAAAGGCGGCGAGGATGGGGGATTCCCTACGAGAGGTTGTGAGGTTGCGTAATACACGTGGAAGTCAGATTTTGCAGGAGGTGAGGGCTTAGGGTGCAAATTAACAATTTCCTCTGAGTGGAAGATCCCACAAACATTTTGTTTTGTTATGATAATTTTCGGGAGGTGATTAAAATGATAATGAAATATAATAATACATTTATTGAGTTTAATGTGGTAAAATTTATATGTTTTACATTTTACTGATCTTCATTTATATTTCATTATCTATTTTATCATTTAAATCACCCTAAACCCAACAATATTGGAGCTCAAATTGGAGAACCTATTTCAATTTAAACCCTCTCATTGATCTGCGGTGCGAATTTCAGTCATCGATCACTCAGAAACAATCCTCAGAGGCATATTATTTCAGTCCAATACCGCCTTGTTGAGTGTTCTCGTAGACGAGATTGTGTGTATAGTTTATTGCCTATCCCACATTTAGAAGGAACCTTGAAGGAGTCGTCATATCCATATTTTGAAATGAAAACTTTTCCAATTACGGTAAGTCGCGGAGAAAATAATTCTTTCGGATAAAATAACCTAGGTAATATGTGTGCTTTCCGATTATTGTCGATATATTAGCTTGCCCATTATTTTTTTTTAAATTTATAAGCTATTTAATTACCGTGATAATTTAAGATTTTTAAAAATAAATTTTCTGGATAGCAAAGATTAATTAAACAAATTTCAAGTGAAACACAGAGCAGAAAAAATCAGCATTTTATTTGTACAAGTCTCAGGTGCTTATAAATCGCATTTCATCAACAACAGTTTTCTGAAAAATGAAGCGACTATAATTTGCAAGAGTGAGGCTACACGGACAAGCTAAAATCCATTTTCAGATCCTCAGGTAGACTGTTCTCTATAAAAAGTAAGTAAAAGGATACCTTTTTTCTCTTTAAGACTGCGAGATGCTGAGACGTGCATATGATCAGGCATCCTTAATATTTTACACATATAATGTAACGTTTTGTGAAAAAAACAACTTTCATGGGTCAGCTCCATCGGGATGAGGGTGTGTGGGTTCTTCCTAATGGGGACGGAGTCGATATGCTGATGCTTCGATGATCGGCCGTTGAAAAATTGTCTCTGATTTTTATTTGAAGCAAGGAGATAATATTTGTTATTCAGCCATTTAACTTTCGTTACATCTTGACCAGGGCCGGATTAGGGGGGGTTACATGGGCCGCGGCCCATGGCGGCAAAATGAAGGGGGCGGCAAATTTTGCAATCTTTTTTGATGTAGGTATCAAAAAAAGAGAGGAAAAATCGGATTCAGAAAATAAATTACAAACGAGGAGAGACGACAAAATCTCTCATTTCCTGATAGTAAAAGTACAGTAATTTCTAATCTTGTCGTCTTTCGGTGATACAAGAGACAACACCTTTAATTAGTCGAGTTAAGAGAGAAACCAAACACGCAATTTGACCTGGAACGGAGCGGGGCGACGGTCGGCAATTCGGCATGAAACGCATAGCGCCTACAAGACTGCATGAATACTTTACGCATTGCGCCAAACAGTGTGGTCAGCAGCGGTCGGCGTGAAACGCATAGCGCCTACAAGACTGCGTGAATACTTCACGCATTGCTCCAACACAGTGCGGTCGGCACGGCGGCGGCGGAAGGTAAAATCATTAACCACATTTATGTTTGTTCTTTCATAATTTGTTCGTTCGTTTTTTTTAGATGGAAGGCCTTGTCCAAACAGGGATGGTTTTACGGAACTGAACTTTTGTCAGTGTTGACAGGGCTTTCACAAAAATGTGCCCAACACAAGTAAACACGTCTCGTACACCCCAACCCCTCCTCCACCGGCTCGTTCACTAGATGGTTTTTATAGATCGTATTCGACAGACCACTCAGGTGAGATTATATTGATATCGATTGATTCAATATGTAACCACAGTCTCAAAAGTCAATTTAGAAATCTGAGGTAACG